CGATTTTCTATTCTTTTCAATATTATAACGGTTCTTTCTCTCATTTATTTAGAACCATCGTTGGAACTTTAGTTTAACTAACCTTTTTAATTTTCATATAACATGACAAATATATGTGCAACCACATTGTCCAAAATGTATGGCATTTTTCAGATCAACTCCATTTTCTTGTTGTTCTATCAAAATCAGATGAGAACCATATCGCTTTTGCAACTAGATTTAAACCAACAATCAATAATTTCATGGATCTTAGTTTAATGACTATGAGTCTTGTTTTTACTCTTATATTATTCCAGCTTGCATCATTGGTACAAAAAGAAAGATGAATTTTTGTTATGAGTCTAATGTTAGCTTTCACGTGAAGATTCAGATTTATACATTTTGTATATTTGGCCTCAGTTTAATTTTGAATAGGATAAACTGCAACTTACAAACTTTTTCGTTAGCTTTGATAAAATCAAGAAATGTAACTAAAAATTGTACTCTAGTGCTCTACTTCATGGTTTTATTTACCACAATCCACTTCTTAATATAGATCAAAATCTATGTAGCTTAGGTTTATTTACAATGGATTAGATAAAAATTGATGTTCACTTTAAGCCTTGTTTCCATAAATATACTTTGGCATGAAACATCATCTTTTTGGAAAAAAAGTTAAAAACACGGAATTTAAGACCTATTTTTATTTTGTTATACGAAGTGAATTTCTTTTGATTTTTGCCAAATATTTGAAGTAAATCCTTGGTGATTAGAATCACAAACGTTTAGGTTAGACTAGTGACTGCAGCTCTCCAGATTTGTAATGAATATACAATTATCAATAAATCATAAAAAGTGACAATTTAGCGGTTAAAGGGTTTCACTTTTAACTGGTAGGTCACAGGTTCAGATAGTGATTTAGTTAATTCGATGCACACGTAGAAGACAGTATCACGGACCATAGCACATTGTGACATAGGTTGGCAGGAGTTAGTCGGTAAGAAACCACGGACATAGATTTCATGATAGCTGGCAATCGTTAACAAGGCCTTTCTTCGGTCACAATGGGATTGGTGCTCCCTAGGGTGCTCGAACTCGTGTCACCCAGCTTTACAGCCCGAGGCGTTATCTTTGAGCTATACAGGTAGTGACTGATGACCTCTCATATATTTACAGTTGTTGATCACTGAGTTGTGAATAATCAGCGTGTAACATGTATAAACCTGTACTTGACAAATCAGTAGCATTAATTTTTATCATTTAGCAATACATTATCTACTCATTTTTAACGACATATGCATAAATAATGCTATTTTGTTGAGTATCATAACATAATTACCGAATTTCACAAAATATGAATTCATCACAATCATTCAAACTTTTTATCCTTTCCCTCATTAAAGTTTGCATAATAGAAGGAACTAACTGTAAATTTCGATAATTGCTATGATTCCCTGGCCTTATCCATTATCATTGATTCTTTGGTTGAAAATTACATATAAGAGGAAAATTAACTCGTACTTAATTGGTGTATTACCATGATAGAATTGACCTGGATAACTTTTTTGAAAGTTGTAATTCTTTTACTTTTCAAAATTTCGGATCAATAGACTAATTGCACATAGCAGGAAATAATATTTACATTATAGAGTGATTGTGTTTAAGCAACCACTGAAAACTAGGAAGCACTGGATCGCTGTTTCATTCTACCATTAGACTATTCAGCACTGCAAATCCACAAATCTTGGGATTGAACTTAGGAAATTCATGTACTGGTAAGAATAACCCTGAGTTTGTGTGACAGTGCATACTTTTGTTAGTTCGTTTATTCTTAGTCTTCGTTCCAAAAACAGAACACAGGAGTCAAACTTCTGTTCTATATTTCAACCGTCCATTATATCTACCCTAAATACTCGTTAATTTATATAAATTATCAAACTGCAACGCATCCCAAATATGAAATCATATTTTACATACAATCATGCCATAGACGCAGGGGAGCAGAGCAAACAGTACATAATTAATTAGCAATTATTAAAGAACATCAAATAGTATAAAGATAGTTAATAATTCCACTGAGAGCTTACAATAAGGAGAATATATAAATACAGTAATACGGTTGTTTACTAGTTATCCCATCTGACTGGTTTCAATCGCTTATTGTCCCGATGTATAAGAAGGGGTCAAAATCGTCCTGTAACATTTTATTTATTTTATTCGGACACATAAATATTGGTACAAGGGGGGCACCAAATATATATGCGCCACACAAAACAATGAGAATTTAAAGAGAAGGGAAAAAAAGGTAAGGAGCGTAGGGAATTATAAAAAAAGGAGAACAATAACGACCAGATTAGTGTAAGGTAGGGTAATAGTAGTAGTAATGGGGGAAACGATAAGGTACAATCAGAAGAAACCTTACAGTTAAGGAAGAAGCAACCGCTTTTTACGAAGAAAGTAAAAGAAGGTTACAGCAGGATCGCCACTGGCTTCTATTCTGAGCCATATCTGATAACGTCTCTAGCCACTGCGTTACACCATCTCTCGGACCCCAGCCAAGGAGTCGTGAAGAACAAACACAAGCCAGCCCTTTGCAGCTTTCTTTCATACCACGACACCATGTCATACGCTGACCACCTCTCCGCTTTTTCCAACCAGTCCCAGAGTCGGCAAGTAATGCACGACGAGGAATTCTCTGGGACGACATTCGTAGAACATGTCCATGCCACCGAAGTCGGTGTTTTAAAATGGTGAAACCAATTGGATTTCTGTCTCTGTGCCCGAACACACGATGCCGAACCTCTGCATTACTAACATGGTGTTGCCACTGGATGTCAGCAATCCTTCGGAGACAGCGATGATCGAACAACTCAACAGTCTTACAGTACTAGTAAATTGTGAATGGTTACATCATCATAAACAGCTAGATTCGCGTTTGTGTTATTAGCTGAACAAATGTGACTACAGTCACATACTATCATCAGACAACTTGTATTTCCATCAAATATACCGTTTCATTTGGAAGACAAGTTATAAAGAGATTGGTTTGAACACGACACTCTTCTTTGTCCTATAGTTCCAGTCGTCTAGGGGATGAACATTACTGTGAATAGTCATCCATGCACAGTCCCTTCGGATTCATGAAAATTTAATTTCAGGAAAATAATGTCTACTAGCATGAGCTGGGACGTAGTAATGGATTGCATGACCCCAAAAATAAAAATATTCCTCCTTATCATCTGCTATCATATTTATATTTGTCTCTTTAATTAATCTATAACCAATCTCGATGAAGGTTGTTGACATAATCGATCTTATTTTACATTGAAGCTAACTAGATTTACGGAACAGTGTCTGTTGTATATTTTAAAATACGATACCAATTATAGATTGGGATTTTCGATTTTCAGATATTTCATTGAGAAATAAGCTTTAGTGGTCCAAGCTAAAAAGCTATAAATTATGTCATGTAACTGAGACATATATAGGCAAATGCAGTATAAATAACTACTCGACTTCACCACACAACCGTAGTGAATTTGTACAATTTATTTTACAGCTGTACCATTTAAGCCATATTTAAAACGATTGATCCAACAAAACTTATTCGAACAGGTCATAAGCAAGTTGAGGAAGCCAACTGAAATGCTAGCTAGAAAGAATTCCTCTTAATAACAACGACCAGTGGTAAGTTGAGGAAGCGCGTATAGTCAAAAATTATACAATTTCACTAAAAACTTGTATGAAGCTATTAGAAAATCACCCGAAGCATATGGATGCAGCTATACAAAAGAAAGTTCCAGAAGCGAATGAACTAATCACTAGTTCCCCTTCATTTTTTTCATGACAGGGTGGGTCAGTCGATATTCCGGACTTTTCAGAGGATTACTATTTCCACCAACCAAGGTATTCAGTAACACAGAAATTACATTCATTACAAACTGATTTGAACTGTTGACCTTAGTAGTATATACAGAATAAAATGGTAGTTATACCAATCAGGCTTTTACTCTTAACCTATTCCTTATATATTCATCCGCTAACCATTATAGCACACAAAGGTAGGCTTTAGTTGCACAGGCTTCTCACATCTCGACCGTATCAGTTAATGAAGGTATACAAGTAGACTAGTTTACCTCATTGAAATATCACACACAATCTAATATCAACACCAGTTGCTCGCTGATTATAATATGAGCAAGCACTGCTTCAATAGGATATTTGATAGAATAGTTATAAGCGTTTTGTTCTCTGGAGAGCGGTGAAATGGATCACCAACGCCCTATATATACTGATACTTTTATGCTCGGGCTAATATTTCTGTAGCTACTAATAACTCACAATTGTGATCACTCACTAGATGAACATTTTAGGGAGTAAATTAGTGACTAGGTTGAATGAGATTTAAAGGAGCGGAGAACCATGATTTTAAATAGTGTGAAAATGCGTAAACACAAAAATGAACTTTTTTTATAGGAACAATAAACCGTATATACTGTCCAGATTGAATATTTTCAATGAAGGATTATCATAATTTGTGTACCGTAATATGATAAACTTATTGTATTCATTACTTATCACTCATCAAAGCGTCATCTTAATTGACCAATATCTAATTCAGAAAATTGTTCTCATAACAGTGATATTAAATAAGTAGTAATTAAATGTTTTATAGTTTAACTAGATCACGAGATGATTTGCATTCGATTCTTCAATAACGCAATCACAAGTGCATACACGCAGTGCATACGAATTTATTTTCTCTGATGTATGATCTAAAACTAATAAGAATGATACGAATCTATGGCTTAATGATCATTCAAAAATTTACGTACAAGGTTAGATAGAAGTCGTAGTGAATGTGCGAAAGACAAGAAGTTTTGAACTTGTGACTGTAAATTCGACAAGCGACTGGGTAAAATGCAACTATATACTCAACAGTTGGCTGACTGGTTTCCTACCGTAGATAAAAAGACATATCTGGGATTCTTTACAGAAGACATACGTAAAAACATAAGCTTCGATAATGGATGACCTTATATATACAAGAATGAATATAAAAAAAGATCATCAAAGATAGTTTATGTACATTACAATAAAGGCAATATTTTGTTTCGATTATCTTTTAATGGACGCCAAAATACTGGGCATGTATACCGACCATCTGTGATTCTTGGTAGAAATCCAGGAACAAGCCAAGCAGTTTGATTTTTCAAAAGTTGAGTATCATATTGAACGTTTAGTTTTTCATTTAAAACACTCAACGGAGTTAAATTATCCAAGTATGTTTCAGTGAGATGTAATTTTGTATATAACTCTTTATTCTCACGAACGTATTTTACAGCAAGTGAATACTAAAACATTTATATATACAAGGTTAAAGAAAATGAATTTTTCGGATATTTCGAATTAACACAAATTAAAATAATCACGTATAGCTAAATGAACTATTAATTTCAATTGTTTGATATTTATCCAAGATAAACTTGTTAGAGCAGATAGCTTCACACCATTATACTATAACTACAACTAAAATACACATATTTTGAGACGACTTAATGCTCTTTCCAGTTCATATCAACAATAAAAATCTCGATAATAATGAATCAACCTAAATATACCACCTAATTTTGACATCATAATAATCCTTAAAACAAAGGTTTTCTTTTTTTGACTCCCCCCTACAGTTAAAATAATGCATTGCCATTGAATAGAAATAAAGAAAATTGAGCAGAGAAAATTTTCTTCGTTCAATTCTTTTCATCTTTCCTATAGATACTAAAAAGAAATTTCCACTTGATACCCAGTCGCATATAATCAATCAGTCAGTAACAACGTGGAACTTGGTACGTGCGCACATCAGTTCAAGTTGCCACACCACATTAGCACAGAGATGCAGTTGTCAATTCAAACACCATATTGATAGAGGTAGTAAAAGTATAAGCAGCAATCGGAAACATTAGGGTTTGAAGATGTTATTCAAGGAGTATAATCCAGTGAAATAAATTTAGAGAGAGAGAAAAAAAAGGGACATGAAGAATTCAGAAAATTAGAATTCGAGAGAATACAAAGAGTGAATGCACCTGCGCCATTGCAAACGATTTTGAGCCATGTCATTCAAGGTCTCTAACCATATGTTGCTATCATCTCGCGGATCCCAACCAGATAGTCTACACGCGTATAATCACTAGTTTTGGTAATTTAAAATTTATATTTTTCAAACTTAATGTATTGTGAGAAAATGAATAAAACCGATTTCTAATGTGTTAAAGTTTCTTTCTAATAAAATTTCAAGTAATAAAACTTCTGAAGGTAAACAATCTTTTGATTTATATCAGTACTTTCATCGTAATAATGATAACATCGAAATATATCAACATGTATGTGTTGTGTGCCTGTGAATCGTTTCAGTAAAAAAACATCTAACTAAAGTTAACTTTTCACTACACGTTCATAATTAGGACCAACTAGAAATATCTTTGTCGGTTCCACAATAGTATTTATGTTGACGCTTATGCGCTAATCCGAATAATACACGTGGTTTGAAGAGACTAGGTGGTATGAGTCTAAAACAGATTAATTGATGAATACGTATTGATTTTTCACTTTTCCTTTAAACCTTGAGTTTTAATATTAGTCTACAATTAGAATCCTTCAATTTTATGTTTAGCTTCTCACAGCGTGATATGTACGATTATTTAGAATCCTATGATTTATAACCTGTTAATTTCCCCACTTCATCCTGATGTGAAATATAACAGCTTCAACCGATGAGTATTTATTACCGTTTAGGTCTTTTTATGACTAACTTCCTTGTTTAGCTATAGAAAAGGTGTTATTGAGAAAAAGGGAAATTTTTTGAGTAATGAGACAAACCGGATAAAAAGAAACTCAATAAATGAAGCAAAACAATTTCGAATGCCTCTAATAATAATAATAATAATAATAATAATAATAATAATAATAATAATAATAATAATAATAATAATAATCTTACTTTGACATGATAGAGTTGAAGAAGACAAGCTGTCCAAGTACTATCTACAATTTGTATTTGTTTAAGATTACCAATGGAAATATTACAACCAGGATATTGATTTCGTATAATATTTAATGTTTCTTCAGTTAATGGGGAAGCATAACAAATACGTGGAGATTGATTCAATGAAAATTGAACTAAATAATTTATGAAAGTGGGAAATATTGATCCATGTAGAGATTTAATTATTTCATCTGACAGATTATTATGTAATTTGTTCCTATATTTTTTTAAAAAAAATTAAAAATACATTAGCTTAATGTTCCGTAAAGATGAATTAATCTGTAACATTTGAATACTTAATTAAAGAAATATTTCATTATAGAGATATTTTTGGAAAAATTCCAGGTAATTTACTAATAACACACATGAACAGTAGATAGCTGTCGTCATTATGAATTAATATGAGTCTAAATAAAAATGTGAATTATATTGAGTCTCTCTGTTTATTATTGACAAAACAATGAAAACCCTAGTAAAGAACTACTAAAACGACCTGAATTTTTAAATAATTTAGAAAGATGAAAATATTTTATTATATTAATTAATAATCAGTCAATCAGTCATAATCCGTGGAGAGACCGAAACAAAACTGTATTAGCTCAAGTTTCTACATTGTATTAACACAAGGAGATGAAATTAACAAGACGAATAAAAAAGGAATCTAAATGATTGTAGTGGAACTGATAATGCGAAAGACTAGATGTAGCGAATATGGTTTGAGAAGTAGAGATGCAAAAATATAACATATGAAGCTATATGTTGTAACTCAATATATAGAATGTAAATAATGAATGCAATGATGTCAATCGAACCGATTCCTACTCACTTTACCCAATGTATTTACCTGTTAGTTTCGGCCCAAACCAGGTAGTCTGGATCTACTAACACGACTCATATCATCAGTCAATAATTTTATAAGTTAATGCTATCCTGACTTGGTTGCCTCTGGGTTTCTTCTAATCTACTCTTATTATCGTTAGGAGTAGGGAAAAGAATCCAAATTCACTTTAATATCAGCCGATATCATATATCTACGCAACACATTATCCATGTGCAGGTTCAGATTAATGCTATCGTGGATAAACCAAATGAGGTGACTAAAAACAAACATATTAATGATCAAGTCGAAAAATTATATTCTTACTATCATTAGGATTTATTGCAGTTGTCAAAAACAATTAAGAAGGAAGCGATAGCTTAATTAGCTCTGATAACACGGGTATATTAAATTCTTTATTCAATATAATTTATCAAATCGAATCATAAACTTTTAAAAGAGTGAAAATAAAAATTATCAACCGTAACTATTGTGTAAGGGTTAAACTAAACTGTTCAGATAAATAAACTTAATGAATAAATTGAAATTATAAATTGTAAATCGATTATATAAACTTGATTTCTATGTTAATTGGAGGATAAAGATAACCTACTCATCATCTATAGCAAACGTTTTTACACTTCATCTATTTAAGGTGGTTCTGCTTGTGACATAAACTTTCTCAAATAATATAGAGCTAATGTTTGTTACTTACAGAGCTAATTCATTGCTTCAATGCTTGTTATCACTTTGCAATTTGAGATCTTTTTCTATCACTCTGTTAATTGCTTTTTTGTCATCTTTAATTACGGATTATATTTACATATATTTCACCATAAAAAGAAAAGGAGTTAGAAAAGTCACAAGTGAATTCGTGAGCCTTAAATAGTAGGATCTGACACAGGACACTATAGAACCATATTAATTTTCTACACATTTCAGATTAATCCAGCTGTATATTATCGAAAAAACTTGACAACACGATATCAAAAGTCTGGATACTAAGTACTTTGGGATAAATGTAATTCAACTATTTAAATCCAGAAGAAAAAGAGTAAGTCCAGACATTGTAGAGATTGTAAATTATACAGTGTCATGAATCGTGTGTATTGATGTATCAATCAATCGTTAGATGAATTGAGTGAGTTTATACATTCTATAAATTTAACAGAATATAACAGTGGGATAGACACATAAGCAGTCACACATATGCAAATGTAGAAGATAAAAGTTCACAATTAATGATACGGACAAGTACGGTAGATTATACGGTGGTGCTAGAAGTCACTGATAGTATATCATATGAGGATCTTAAAATGTAGACTGTTGTGTTTCGATTTGGTGGCTGTAAAACACTAGTTCATCGTATTCAAACCTCTGTGTGTTATATACTCGGAATCTTGAGAATATTTGAACTTTAAAGAAACTGGTGGCAGATTATATTTTTATATTTTTTTCAGCTGAATGTAGCTTGTGGCGAAGATTACCTAGTAATTACATGAAATCTATACTATCAACTGATTAGCTTAAAAAATTGATAAAACCGTTTTCTTAAATGGTATTCCACATTTTACATTATCATCATTACATCATTATGTGGTTTCCTGGAAATTTTCATGATGACATAATACAAAGTTGTCTTCGTACTGTAATCATAGATAGCTTCGTACTACCATTAAAAAATTTTTTCATTGGAACGTCTTGTTTCTTTTTATCAGCATGCAGTGATAACTATACTTGTATTATCTAAGAGAGACAGACAATTTCAATAAAGAGTAATATCTGTAGTAAAATAGTCAGACTGTCAGTCAAACGCATCGTAGAACCTGGCACGTGTATACACAGCGTCAAGTTGCCGCATTCCTATGGTAAAATAAATAGTAAACAGTTGAAAATATTTCAATTAGTGGTAGAGGTCAAGTGAACTTGGAGGTTACTTCCCAGGTGTTACAGGTAGTTAGTGATAGAAATTACTGTCAAATTCAAAATATGTAATATAAGAAGGGATACAATAAATAGGTCAATAATATCACCTAATATTGAGAAATTCTTTATTACAACCACATTAAAAACCATAGAGTTATTGCTTTATCTAGCCTCCGTGAGAACAAATAATCATAAAATATAGTAAACTAATAATCAAGCTATATTTTCTCATAATTAGGAACGGATATTTCGCAAATAAGTGATTATTAATTAGAAATAGTATAAGCATGTTAATAGTTTAGTTTTGAGTTTCACAGTGGATAGATGGTGCTCACTGTTGAAGAGTTTTAAATTAAAATGAGATAGATTTTCAGTGCTACCCGTTGTTTTCCGGATAATATAAAATCCACAGCCAAAAAATATTAGCACGTAATTTTCATTTAAATCTGATCAGAAAGAATAAAAAACACCAAATAAATGCTAAGAAATACTTTAGCATAACAGGATCATTATACCTGAAGAGAATTTTCACGTTCCGAAATTTCTACATTAGAACAATTTAAGCGATAGGATTTGGTTAGGACAAAGGATTAGGAAAACATGGCATTGGGTACTACGCAGTGATGAATTAATGAATAAATATCTTAATCCTACGGAAGGTCAGTCATGATCCGAATAGTCCAGTGACAAAGTCTCAGACTATGAAGCTGAGCGACTCGGACTTGGATCCACTAGGAAGCATCTGTTCCTCTAAGATTGTAGGTACATCTTGTTAGAGTGTGCCAACTGGTACAAACCTAGGTACGAAAATTCCCAATAACTACCTCAGAACACCAAACATTAGAACACATCAGCGAAATATATTGAACGAATAAACAACGAGCAATGAAAAATAAAAGTAAAGTAGTCAAAACAGATGATTATTTACCACAACCACATTTCATTGTATTCCACTCCATGAGAACTGAATTCAACATCCATACTAACCGACACATCATCACCATCATTTAGATTTTTCTCTGATCCAGGTTTCTTTTCAGTAAGACGAAGTAGTTCTCTTGTTAAGACAGTGGTTAATAGACCAGCACAACGACCAGTTAAATAACGTTCTCTTTTACTAAGGGATTTATCACCATCAATAGAATTATTAATAGCGAATAGATGGAAAAGTTGCCCCAAGAAAATTATCACTGGTGAAACAAACAATCGCGTTGATATACTAATATTATATATTCAAATAAACAGAGGAGAAAAATAAAACTTAGATTGCATTCATGACAAGAGATGACAAATAGTAGTAAATAGGAAAATATATGAGCCTCAAGCAAATATGAATTTGAATTTATATGTATGGATACACACAAGTATTTATTATATATTTAATTGAACACATAAATATTGGTACAAGGGGGCATCAGATATATATGCCCCACACAAATCTCATTTGATAGGTGTGAGGGCTATGATACTGCACGGGTGCCCAAACCGAAGCAGGTGGTTTTCTTAAGAGATCACATCCGGAGCCTTCGACTCGAAGGTCTGATCCACAAGACAATGGAGCATCGTAAGGAGATGCAGTCCCATGGTAACCGGTGACCAACGATTGGTTCATATGCCATTTGTTCCCTCAGGGTACTGGAGTCCACGTGCACCATTGGTTTGGAATCAGGGTTTTCTAACTCCCCTAGGTAGACTCTTCGTGTCCACCAACCATATGGACACACATATACCCTGAAGACGAGATGATGGGAGAATTAAAAATTTATAAATGGATTGTTGTTTTGAGAAAAATAGGGTTGAAGATCATCTAATACACTAATTAAAATTATACAAGGTATAGACTAAAACCGGAACGTTTTTGGCTTAATTATCTAAAACTTCAATGACAAGTTAAGGTTATGTACATTCAAATTATTTAAATGGAAATATACTCGATCTATCTACCCATATGTCTCAATATAAAACAAGTCATTCGCGAAGCTTTGGCTTCGTCAGGTAGAACAATCAGTCACTCATATAATAACTGCGTCTCAAAGACTAGTACACAAGCCTATACGTAATTGTTGAACTGTATTAATCCAATAACACAGTAAATATAAATATGACTCGATAAATTTACAATACGAATTAATAAAAATTTAGTCAGTAAAGTGGTAACAATGGTGTTAGGGTATAATCACCGCTTATTTTTCCTTAGTTTGAAAACTTGCATATTTTAAGTAATGGAATTCAAAAGCTTTTTTACGATACGATAGTTGTCTGTAAAACTTTATAAACTAATTTCCAGTGTTTTACCAAATTATAACTAGATTAAATGTGATTTTAGTTATCAAGTAAAAATAATAATTTCAGAAAAGTTAAAAAAACCACGGACACTGAACAGTTATTTGGGTTTAGTTGAAGAATCATCAATAGCAGTGTGTACATACAACCTCATACGAGATCGGATCCAGAACCTTTTATGTTTCATAGCTGGTATGAGAATTAGGACAATTGGGTATGAACCCAATTATCTACAGCCCCAGCTTCAACCAGATTCCGAAACAGTATAACAATCATCCCATCCCATCAGTGACAAATATCTCACTCTCAATATGAGAGCTTAGAATTTAGTTACATGTCATCACATAATCGGCGGTTTCTGGAGTTTTCCTAATATGAATAGCTTTATACACGAACTGGACATACGTTTTGTGTGGGATGATAAGTGTGCACTTTTGACCTCCTAGAAATAGATCGATTCTCGAAAATGCAGTCGACGAGAACAATATTTCCAGCAATGGGTCTAAGATGAACTTCAACAGAAATGAAGATAAAATACAGTCTTGTCGGATATCACTTGAAGTTGTAAAATCAGATGACAGTTAGCCATAAGCTCTGACTCAATAACTGGCAATGTTCAAGTAAAGAACGTTCACAAGGTTTATGTACTTCTGAGGTACGCTTCTCAATGACAGACACTGACACAGAACCTCTCGGTCTACAGAGTCAAATGCTGCTTTTAAGTCAAGCAAAATCGTCATTGTCAGACACTGATAAGTATGCCTGTGTTCTAGAATCTGACGAATGGTGAATATATGGTCGATACAGCCACGCTCAAATCTGAAGCGAGCCTGTTTTCTAGTATTTGCATTTCACGAGTCTTAGGCGTCCGGCAATTATTGAGGTTAGTGTTTTAGATGTTATATTAGTCAAACTAATCCCTCTATCGTTGTCACAGGATGATTTTGACCCCTTAATATATGCTTGGCCAATCAGTGATTGCGATCAGTCAGATGGGATTACATCCAACTCTCAGATTTGTGCTGAAAATTTGGTCAACCTAATCGCCAGTATTTGACCACCATCCCTGAAGACCTCTGGGGTTAATCCATCTGGACCAGCTGCCCCTCCCCGTTTTAGATTGGCTAAAGCTTGTTGCACTTAAATTATAGGCGGAAGAAAGGCCTATTTCCATGTTCCATTCGAGTTGTCTGGGAATGGTGGGTAGTTGTAGAGTAGCTGAAGGCCAGTTGAACTGCTCCTTAAAGTGTTCCGACAAACGTGCTAAACGTCTGGACTGAGAGCAGATAAGAATTTCATCTTTTACCGAGATCGTCTCGTTTACACTTGACTTAACTCTAGTTTCTTTTATTAGTCTTGTGTTACCTAAAGCCGCCACTTTTTCCATTTCGTTTGCTTTCGCTGCCCATCACTGCTCACGATCGTTATGTAGCCTTTGGGTTAACCTAGATCTGGTTTATTTACGCTCTTTAACATGTTCAGAGCCTGGTGAGATGACTTCACGAGAAACCGTCAGCGAAATAGTAGAAATCCATTGGTTTTTCCTAACCCTTTGTTTAAATCACTAACAGCTGTCACTGCTGCTTGTATATCTTTCAAGGAAACATCTGGGTCAGCCTCATTTTTAGAACTGCCTAAGTGTGACCTCAGTTGTTTCAGGTATCTACAAATAGTTTTGTCGTCACTTAGTTCAATTCTAATAGGCCTTCTTAATGAGGCGCAAACAAATGCATGCTCGTATTAGAGCATGATCGGAGTCCAAACAAGTATTCCAGAACGAGCGACAGTATTCGATCGAGCCTCTCCAACGATGAGTGATGGCAATATGGTCTAGAGTTCATCGTCAGTTTGGTGCAGGCAGTCGCCGTGTTAGACGATATTTTTGCTAATGCTTAAAATTAGTGCTTGCTAAAAATAAACGATTGTCTGAGCACAGTTGCAGCAGACGGTCACCATTATCTGTTCGCTGAGCCGGGATACTAAAATACCCACATGAATGTCTTTCTGTTTGATTTGAGCTACTTGCTTGAACATTAAAGTCATCTGCTACGATTACTATGTCTGGACGTTTAGCTTTATCAAAAAGTTCAGAAAGCTTTATGAAAAAGTTATCTTTCACTTCATCCAGTTTGCAGGCAGTGGGAGCGTAGACAGAAACGACTAAAAGGCAACGACATGTGTCTCGATCCTTACGAGTTCCTTCGGAGCCGTTTAGCCGAACAGCACATAGGCGACTGTCAACAGGGATCCACTCTAATAGTGTTTGTTCTGCCCTCGTACTTAGTACTATGCCTACACAAGAACTGGCCATCGGGTCGCCAGATACACGGAGGGTGTATCTCGACGGCTTCCCACTTTGGCGAGGTGAGGTCAAGTGAATGACCACACTAGGATCCTGGATGTGTGTTTTGGAGACACGGCATACATTAATGGTACGAGATTATAGGGTTTTAACAAAGGAGGTCTGCTGACCGATTTGACACATGGTGAGTGCGTCGAAGGCTCCAATGTGTAGTTTGGAGCGATGTTTCAGTAGACTTGGGACAGTGTTTCGCACACTATAATCGCTTGGCCATGGTGACAATTGAGGAGCAAGTTGAGGTAGGAGGCATAATAGGAATTGAAGAGGGAGGTTGATTATGAATACAGTGGTCTTGAGTGCTGTTAGAGGTATGAGGGCGGTTATCACTTCCCGGTCGCTCACATCGTGGAAGGGTTTTTCTGGAAGTACCTGAAAACGAAATTGGGTTAGAGGTGGTCTTAGTGACCGGAGAGTGTGACCGCAGTGCCCAAAGGACAACTGCTCGAGGCCGGTCACACACGACCTTTTTGTGAGTAATTTTCGTGTTAGCTCCGTACTTGTTGAGACCTTACCACCGGAGACGGATATCCGTGGGATAAGGTGAGGTGTGCATTTTTAAGGTCGACCTTTTCTAACCCCACCCCTCCTTGTGGGAAGGTAGCATCGCTGTTATGCTGGTTGTCTGAAGGAAACACCTTACTGTCGTCACACCTCTGTACAACCAGCAGTATGAGTTCGCCCTCAGACCTTGGGGTTCGCTGCTTTTAGTCTTACCATTCTTCAACCGACCTGTCTGGCATGGTAGGATCTTGAGAAACGATTGTTCCAGCCAGCATAGTTCGACTGGTTCTTCACGATAGGCAAGCCCGACCACCACGTCAAGATAGCAGAAACGGTTGGAGGTCAGAAGTCGAACGCCTTAACCCCTAAGTTAGTGAAAACTAGCTATAAAGGTGTTATGTAGGTGTCAATTATTTAGTCACCGTTACGCTAAAACAGAGATAAATGAACTAGTAAGTGATATTACCTACCATATATTCTATAGGATAGGGAAACTAACTCAAAGCCGTCAATGATAGCTTTCATTGGGATTGTCATACAACAGAAATAAGTCATCTAAACATGCGCTAATTTTATCGGAACATTTCAAAATGTACGTCGTATTTCGAAGAAATTTAACACAGAAAGATAGATTTGTAGAATACCGGATAGATCTAATGATCACCACTTAGATTCATATAATTGGGTGGCGGATAACTATGATACAACAAAATAGTTAATGATGGGTAAAATAAGTTGACAAATTATTTAACCATGTAATATATTCTTAAAATACATTAGTTTTCCATCTAATAGTATTGGTAGTAGCAACAACAGAAACTTACTCTACATTCCATTTAAAACGGTAAGGTGACAGCAAATACAAATCAAATGAACGTAACCAACAGCTGGTTTCATGGTAAAACTCTGTTGTCGCGTTAGATAGATCAAAACATGATAACTGATTAAACCACAATTTGATTAAACGCTCTTGAGTATTCTCTGGTGGTGGCCATAAAAATGGAGAAAGATGATTTGCTGTTGAACATCTAAATGAATAATATTCAATGTATGTGAATAGTTCAAAAGCTGATTGATTGATTAGTTGAATCCAAAACAATATTTGATTATTCAGATTACCCTTTGTAGAGGGATTATTAATTCCTAAAAAGAAACGCAAGAAGAGTACAAAGTAGGAAGAAAATATATCGATCTCTTCTTGACTTTGATACAAATACAAAGTGTACAGAATTTTAAAATTGCAGCTCCGAGTGAGCTATCATAAAATGCTTAAGAAAGGAAAACATTCGAATGTACGCTGCAAACAAATAAGATGGTTCAAACACTAGATTGTCAATAGTTAAGTAACAAGTCTGAAACCACTTAATTTATTCTAGTTTGGGGATATTTCAAACCACTCAGATGTATAAACAAACGTACTGATAGATATTAGTGTTAAGTTTTACGCTACTTCTGTCTATTTAGCTACCCAAATGTAAGGTTCGATCATATTCACTAATGATCAAATGGCCAAACTTTGAGGTCCAGCTCATGTGCAACCCGAAAAAAAAGCCGAGATAAGGCATCGAGTGACCAAATGCAAAATAAAAATACTGTAAGGAAGATTACATTTCACCAAAAAATATACTATTTATACACTTTTTCAATTGAGCCTTAGGTTTACATCAACTAGTCCAAAGATTTTGCACCCATTCAAATACAGTCAATACTGCTTATTAGTGAAACATGAACCGAATCTAACTGAGTAAAAAGACCCTCTCCGAATGTAGAAATAACGCTATCCGATCTTTTAAGTTGAATTTATATGGACATACAATTGAAGAACGCGGTGGCGGTTGAGTTACATAGCTATCATAATCATGAGACTTGATGTGAATAGTTTCTAATTGTGAAAATTATATAAACGATTTATTTTGTAACAATGTCCAATAATTAAGTACATTTTTTGAGTGTTTTTTTAGTGGAAATCCTATTAAGACTTATAGCTAACAGAGAAGAAAACAGTTACAAGTATATAATATACAATAATTGTAAACATCCACCGAAATGACCTATAATATCTTCTACAAAGAGTTGTGATCAAGTGATACAGACACGATATTCCCAGTTAGTCAATAATATATTTAAACCAGTCTCCAATCAACAAGGTTTGGACAGTTAGGAGTAGTAGTTTCACAGCTAGGAAATAAACTTGATTTATGCGTTAATGAGGCTTTTTGATTTTGAAATAGTTTTAATTGAGAAACTGAATGATTTGACTCTGAATTTTTAGAGCAATGTAAGTAAATCTAACTGATGAATGCCAACAAACACTAGTCCAACAGGATAGGTCAGTTTACTATTTAAAATTATTATATAGTTATAAATAACCTACCTCTGATAGAATTGAACGTATTATTTGTAGAATAGTCATTGGTATTAGTTGTTGAAGTTGAGTGATCATAGTCGACAACAGTTGAATCACCATAGTCATCAACGTTGTCAATATTATTATTATTACTGTTATTATCACCAGTAACACCAGAAATAATAGCACTTTTCAACTGACGTTTCAATTGTTTATTTCTACGTTTACGTTCTTGCTTAAATTGTTTTCTATTTAAATTAACTGATTTGTGTCCATTGGATGAGTTTAAAAGAAATGCATAATTTCCAATATGATTATTTTTACTTTTCTGTGACTTTTGTTTATTACACTTTAAGTACATAAGTAATGAAGAATCAGAAGATAATTGTAACGGGTAGATTGAATAAAATTTGGCCAAAAAACGCTCCAATGATGTGGATAAATCTGGTGAACTAAAAATAAAATTATTTTTAAATTAATAACACGAAAATAAAACCAATAATAATTCAAACAAAATAATTCTTTTTAAGCAAAAAGAAACAAGATTTTCAAATCAATATTCTAGAGAAGTATTAAGAGAAAGAAAACATCATGCACACAAGCATTCAAAGATTTCAGTTTAAAAAACGATGAATAAAATGAATGAAATAAGTTTTAAGCTAATGAGACTACAGGTTTATAAAGTTGCTGATTATTTTTATATCAACTGTAAATTTGAACTGAGTAGGATTGAAGTGATGATAAAACTTGATGCTTAGAGGAACAATGAATGAATAAGTGAAAATTATTCTTTGAATTTATGCCGTTTTTTTCCACCTTAGTAATTTTCTTCTCATTAACTTGATATTGAGACGGTGAGAACTCCAAGTAAAAGCTTTCAACCTGTATACTGCGTCGTTTAAGAAGAATTCAATCGGAGCGTGATTCTATGCTTGTTGATTTTCAATGCTTTTTCAGTTGATATCAGTCTATGAAGACAACTGTTTCCAAGATACCAATAGTGAAGACGATAACGATTGTCTGATTATTGAGAAAGCAAGAATGAATGTGGTAATCAAGATGAAGACAAACTGACTGAAGAACTATCTAAACCAATCAATCTACACGTAAAATAAAGTCAGTACATTTCAAATTAATGGACAAAATAAGAAACTTAATACAAATATGAAATAAATCATAAAAACCAACCACGACAATGAACGAAAATGAAGGTAAAAGCGAATAAAAATGATAAGTCTTCTAACTGAATGCTCGAGTAATTTTCCTAAACACTTCAAATAACTCCAGGCTAAATCTACAGGAAACTTGAACATGAGAGAAAAGGTGCAAAGTGCGAAAAGAATGCTTTATTCGAATGTAAGTTTAAGTATATTAAATCGAGGATATTTATGGTATCTTAAATGGCCTTGGGTTTCTGTAAGTTTCTGGAACCACAGAAAATATAATAGCAAGACAGGTAATTATCCAATCAGAAATATGACACGTGACTCTTCACATTCTACATGTTTCTGAGAAGCCTATGCTTAACGCTAACTGGAAAAATTGTTTCCCAGTTTTTCAGGGCCCTTCTGAGCTTTTTAGTGGAATAAATAGGATCTCTCCAACAAAAGAATAAAAATGAGTTTGTAGGTATCAATGCCAAGTTTTGGCTTGGTAGTTTCAAATAAATTGATTTAATAATAAATATATTTTTTGCTATATTCAAGAGATTGGAATATAACATATAAATATGCATTATCAAAAGAATAAAAATATCCAGTTTGTTTTGTATAGACTGCATACTTCTGAGTCAGAAATCACTTGTGAGATATGTCACTCAGGGTTTCAATGAACTAATTATTACTATCTTGTTGAACTGGGTTAAAAAACCAACATTAGTCCGATAAAAATACCAAAGAGAAAAACATTTGATCTTTAATTTCATGTTGATAATTCCGTACTGTGCTAAACATTAAGTGTTGAATCAGATGATTATATCTGTAATTTTTTTCATTTCATTAGATCAACATTTGGCTTTTGCTTAAATAATTTTAACTTACACTATAACTTTCCACCACTTCAAAATCATCTATCGTATGAAAAAAACGTTTGAATAAAACAAACATAGAAGTTCATTTGAATGAAATTAATGAAAAGTAAGTTGAATTAGTGAATTAACAGTTCCGTAACACCAAAACATACATAATAAGTCAGATAGCTACTAAATTTATTTCCTGTTAAATTTAATTCCTAATAAAAATTTTAATCGGACAATAATGTGAATCAAACAAGAAAACGTGATTATTTTTTTAATGACTCAGGCAAATAGTTTTAAAACGATGAAACTCAGTAACACAGTAACACTCACATTTCATTTACATCCAATCTCCAACCGGAATAATCACGTATCACACTGGAATGCGAAGTGAAAAAACTAACTTCTTTTGTTTCGAAGACAACACGCAAAGCACGAAGAAGATAGTACAGGCTGCTTAATACTTCCTCATTCGGATTTTCATTTAGTTCTATGCAAGAAAAAAAGTTAAACAAAACGCCGTATATATGCTGCACTTAAAAAATGACAAATTAGTACTTGTTTCCTAACAATGTAACTTATTTAGTAGATAAAGGTTTGTGTTATCGATTTCCAGTTACACTGCATGAAGGCTAGAAATACTACGAACTTAGGGAGAAGGAAGAACGTGAAACACAGTTCAAACCAGCAGCATACTGTTTGAAGTAACGAAAGACAAATTAACTCATCCACCAAGTACTTGGGTATGAGTCACACTCTTTAAGTGATGGACAAAGATAATAGTCACCTGCCCAAACGGAAGATAAGAGTGGGGCTCGAACATGGTATTTAATGGCTAAAACCAGAATGCTTTGACTTTTTTCTAGGGAACATTTATGGTGAAGATGACCAACAAATAACAATGAAACAGATCTGAATATAGAAACATAGTGACATACTAAAAACATTATTTGGACATATAAAATATTGTAGACAACTTATTTTCATCTTGTTTTTCCTATGGTCTATGATAATCTTCAAACCTACCTTCTATCTTGGAGATAATAGAAGGTAAGATAAAAGTCTTGAAACACCGCCTAAAGGCATCTTTAGTGAGTGGGTACTGTCAGAGAATTTTGGACAAAAGACATTTCCAAACTTAAACACAATGTTAGTTTTTATCTATACATGACTCAAGCTTCACTAAATATGTCCCGAAAATCTGAAACAAAATTTAAGTAGAAAAGTTTATACTAACTAACCATCCAATAGAATTAAACCTTCACCAATCAAGCCATGTATAATAACCTGGTCATCGTAGTCCTCTTGACACCAGGTTGGAGTATAAGCAATCGAAGAACTGTCAGAAATTTCTTTACTTTTAAAATTCCTTTGATTCTTCTCACTCCGTTTATGCTTATAATTTTTATTATTAACAACAATGTTTTTAGTTGAGGAAGGAAATATTAGAGACTGTTTGACTACACTGAATAAACCAGAATCAAAAGTACGCGATGTAGGATGGAAATCAATCAATTCCTTGAGATAATACCCTTTCAAAGGGATATACAGTTGGAGGCATTCGTTTGAAAAATACGGTAAAGAGTACAACCAAGGATGATGACTTTGAGAATAACTCAGAGACACTGTATATTGATTATCTTTCAAATAAACCATGGTAGTTCGAACCAAATATGCACGATACTTCGATAAAGCTTTAAAAGTACGCTGCAAAACGTCAAAAGATAAATGGAAAGACCCATTGTAAAGTCTTCTAAATAAACGAGCATATATGTTAGCCTTCCACCTCATCTTACTATTAACCTTTTGGTGGGAAATGATAAATATTTGCTTGCTGTCTAACAAGCGACAGTTTCTAAAAACCTTCGTAAGCTACTTATTTTAAGCTACTTATGAGTAGTGTCAACATTACTACAGAAAACCATTAAGTCGATTGGACGTAAGGCATGGTTTCATTCCAAAGGCATCTCAGAAAAATGTACAAACATACCTCATACAAAAAGCAAATGCCATTTCTTACGACCGAAAACCCTTATTTGGATCCAACCTCATTATAGCTTCAACATGCAGAAAAGCAAAGCTAAAATTTGAAATCCCCTCTTCTATACAATCACTTTAAAATTCGTCATAAGGCACTTTTCCATGTTGTTCGAAGAATGATAGTTTATTACTATATTCAGCTGTAACATAAACTCATATGCGGCCAGAAGAACAAACGGTTACAGAGAGACAGGTAGATATTATTAGCAAAGAGCCTGGCACAAATATGAGTTGAATCAAGTTAACATGAGTGATACGAGATGAGATGTAAGAGAAAACGAAATAATGTAAAAATGATAATAAAATAAACCAAGGGCTGAGAGTATGGTCCGAAAAGGCTGTGGAAAGGTATATTGGAGGAATACTGGAGTTCAAGATCGTGAATATCACTGTGAACATTTCCGAGCCATACCATCCAAAGTCTTCAACCACTGATTGAGGTTACCAGAGATTTACCAGTAACAATCAAAAACGCTAAGAAGATCACAGTCAATACTTTAATTCTTAGGAGTACTGTAGGGTATTTTTACTAAACAGAATATGAAATAACCCAAGGTAATTGGTATTCCCCAACACTATGCCGATACTCATAAATAAGTCCTACATTCGTTCATTTAATAGCCTTTTTATATAGAAATATTAACTAACAGTTTCGTGAGATGTCATATAACGAATGGTGGAAGTACATAATTACTGAAGTATTTCAAAAAAACCACCGTGCATGTAAGTTCCATTTCCGTATTTGAATATGGCTAGATTCATGTAACATTTTGTGTTTATGCTTTTCAATTTTTTGCTTGTACCTATACTTCACTATCTTAAGATGAGTAGTTAATACAATCTCCTGTAATACAATGAAATGATGCAAAATATTCTTATCATACATTATTTTCTCCCACCTAGATATACCATTTGAATGTAAATTTATCCTTTTATTTATGCGATGAACGCACTTCATAAATAGGATTTTTTAACTGTGGTCCTGTGTTTTATACCAAAACTGGAGCTGGCTGTCGAAAGTGTGTAACGTAGGTAAATGATTACTGCTCGATTGATACACTTGAATTTTACTTGTGGTATCTAAAATAATATATGCGAATAACACGTCCAACGATTTTTGAGAAATTTATTCAGCATCCACTCCTGTTTACTAATTCGTACGCAATTCATATTGTTCTATATATTACGTGATTTATGACATGTAGTTACATTATTATCTCTCTCAACCTATGGTAACCATATTTACTCTTATTCAAGTTAAAACATCATATTGGTCATCCCGACATTAACGATTTTATTTTACTTTATATTACAAATGATTCTAACTTCACATGCTATAATTTAAATTGATGTACTCTGTCTTGAGCCTGGTCATTTTTGGATTAATTTGGATATATAATTGTAGAACCTGAAGAGAACTTATTGGAAAAAACTTCTTCGTTCGTATATATGTTTTAATATGGGAAGTTTTCAGCAACTAAAGGTGGAATTAAATTATTTGAATCTTAAGGGGTTTTCTTTTGTTAAACATGTAAAAAAGCAAAGATCTGAATTGCTTTTCACTTTCTTCACACAATTACCAAAACAATATTTTAAAGGGACATACATTTAGTCTTAAATTATTGTAGCATTGAATCATAAGATTAGAATAAGCTCGAAAACGTATTGACTGTTGAAGTGAATCGAAAACTCCTGAGTAAACTGATTTTGTCCGGCTGGATGGTTGATACAATATGCTCATAGTCGTTATCAACCTACAATGTAGACCAAATGTATAGGCAGACAGGTGGCATCCGAAAAATTTCCAAACTAGTTCACTTCTGTGTAACAGATTGAGAACAACCTGATCCAATTCGAATATTATATCTGATATCTTTGGGTGAGTATATGCTATCTGAAACATATATATTGAAAAGCGGAGCAATGTATGAAGGTTGATAAATAATAATAGAATGGAAAACGACTCATGAGAGTAAGTAGCATGACTCTTACCATTATGGAAGGAGTAAATTATACTATTCGCATGAGAAATTCGATAACTTACTAAACATTAACAATACTGGAAAACGTCATATGAAAAGTCAAATTAACAACTGCCTACCAACTAAACAAATGTACAAAACCGCTGAACAAGTTCGAATACATCTTGTATTACCATGAAAGCCTTACCAAAAGTCAAATACATGTTAATTACTGGTACACAGTGTATTGTTTTTACAGTATTCCTTGTCCTGCAATGAAATTTTACATACAGTGTTTGAAAGACGTTAACATAATAAACAGTTCAGAATACAACTCGAAATCCTGCTTCGGTTTGGGCACCCGGGCAGTATCACAGCCCTCACACAAATCAATTGAGATTCGTGTGGCGCATATGTATTTGGTGCCTTCTTGTACCAATACCTATGTGTTAAAATAAATAAATAAATAAACAATTCGAAATTGTAACGAACATTCTTGAACGGAATTGATTCCGTCTCAGAAGGAGATAACTAAAGCCAAAGGCTACAGAACAAAGAAATGAAAACATAATGGGATACCTGACTCAGTTCGTTCCATTTGCAAATAATATTAAGAGGGGCGTACCACACCAAACTTGTATTTGGAAGTGATAACTTATCACAGAACCCAATCATGACTAGTATCTTCTCATATTTCGACATATCAGTAAGTGATTCGGCTAAAAACTCGCAATTAGATGAGATGTATTTTTCGGTGGATAACATTTAAAATAACAAATTTCCATCCGAAAAAAAACGCGCAAGAAATCCATTCCTGTTGATGAACACAAACCCAGTATCATGGCGGTACATAGTGACTCACTGAAAAGGAGCTACTTAAAAATAATCAGTTTAGACAATAGCCTTGCGGAGAATTGAACATAGAAGAAAATGTAACTCTTGAGACCCATCTACGAATTATTATCATTATTTATATTTTTGTTGCATAACTAGTAAGTCAGTCAGTCAGTTACAACGAGGACCAGGCACATAAGTGCATCGGTCCAAGTTGCCACACCTCATTAGTACAGCAAGATGAACAAATTCATAGAAGCAATCAACTCACTGGTGTAATATATAAAGGAAAGATTGCATATAAGGATATAGTACAGGAAGAAGTTTTTTCTGGTTGGCGTTTTTTTAGCGAGTTAGTTTTCTACGGGATGGGGTCACTAACACCATGGCCCGACCCTCCTCCTTTATCCGGGCTTGGGACTGGCAGTAGCCCAGGCGGAGTGAAGAGGAGCATCAGAACTGACAAACGTAAATATGTAGAAGATTTAGCAGTGACGCGGAAAAGGCTGCAAGAGAAGAAAACATGAGACAACTGTATGACACAACAAAGAAACTCTCTGGAAATCACTGTAAACCAGAACGACCAGTGAAAAGCAAGGAAGGCAAGGTAATCACCAACATTGAAGAACAACGAAGCAGGTGGGTAGAACACTTCAAAGAACTCTTGAATAGACCAGCCCCATTAAACCCAACCAACATTGAAGCAGCACTCACGGACTTCCCAATCGATGTTGGCCCACCAACAACTGAAGAAATCAGCATGGCCAACAGACAAATCAAACGTGGCAAAGCAGCAGGATTGCGTCCAAGCTATTGGCTTCCGTTATACTTCGTAGGTTGTTCAAAACCCGAGAAGGATTGACTCACGAGGAGCAGACTGGGTTTCGTTCTGGTCGAGGATGTATTGATCATATCTTCACCCTCCGCCAAATATTACAACACCGTCATACTTATCAAAGGCAAACAATCGTAGTGTTTCTTGACATAAGGGCTGCCTTCGATTCGTTGGACAGAACTGTTCTCTGGGATTGTTTGTTGAAGAGGGGTATGCCTGAGAAGTTTATTAACATCTTAAAGGCCCTATATACAAACACCTCGGGCAGAGTGAGGGCACACAACCACCCCTCTCCATTGTTCCATTCAAGCAGTGGGGTTTATTTTATTTTATTTTATTTGAACACATAAATATTGGTACAGGGTGGCACCAAATATATATGCGCCACACAAAACAATGATAATTTGAAGAGAAGGAGAAAAGAGAAAAAAAGTGATGAACGTAGGGAATTATAAAAAAAAAGAGAGAGAGAACAATAATGGGGGAAACGGAAAGGTACAATCAGAAGAAATCTTTTAGTTAAGGAAGATACAACCACTTTTTATGCAGAAAGTAAAAGAAGGTTACAGCAGGATCGCCACTGGCTTCTATTCTGAACCATAACTGATAACGTCTCTAGCCACTGTGTTACACCATCTCTCGGACCCCAGCCAAGGAGTCGTGAAGGATCAGGGTTGCCCAATCTCACCATTCCTCTTCAACTTTGCCATCGATGACATTCAAGAAACAGCTCTGATGGATGTAAGTAATGGTGATGTGGATCTGTTGCCTGGAGAAAGACTTCTCGACCTTGAGTATGCGAATAATATTGTCTTACTGTGCGACAATCCCCAAGCCATGCAATCCGCACTTAATCAGTTGGCAATCAGTGTCCGTAGGTATGGTATGTGCTTTGCACCTTCGAAGTGCAAAGTACTTCTACAAGACTGGCAGGATTCTGATATTGTACTCACTCTGGATGGTGAGCAGATAGAAGTAGTCGAGAAGTTCGTGTATCTAGGTAGCTGCACAAGTGCTGGTGGTGGCGTGAGTGATGAGATCAATGCAAGTATAGTGAAAGCCAGAGCGGCTTATGCCAATCTGGGCCATCTTTGGCGCCTTCGTGATGTTAGTCTGGCTGTAAAAGGTCGGATCTACAACGCGTCGGTGAGAGCAGTTTTGCTCTATGCTTGTGAAACCTGGCCTCTCCGAGTTGAGGATGTTAGACGAATCTCTGTGTTCGATTATCGCTGTCTCCGAAGGATTGCTAACATCCAGTGGCAACACCATGTTAGTAATGCAGAGGTTCGGCATCGTGTGTTCGGGCACAGAGACAGAAATCCAATTGGTGTCACCATTTTAAAACACCGACTTCGGTGGCATGGACATGTTCTACGAATGTCGTGCATTACTTGCCGACTCTGGGACTGGTTGGAAAAAGCGGAGAGGTGGTCAGCGTATGACATGGTGTCGTGGTATGAAAGAAAGCTGCAAAGGGCTGGCTTGTGTTTGTCCTTCACGACTCCTTGGCTGGGGTCCGAGAGATGGTGTAACGCAGTGGCTAGAGACGTTATCAGATATGGCTCAGAATAGAAGCCAGTGGCGATCCTGCTGTAACCTTCTTTTACTTTCTTCGTAAAAAGCGGTTGCTTCTTCCTTAACTGTAAGGTTTCTTCTGATTGTACCTCATCGTTTCCCCCATTACTACTACTATTACCCTACCTTACACTAATCTGGTCGTTATTGTTCTCCTTTTTTTATAATTCCCTACGCTCCTTACCTTTTTTTCCCTTCTCTTTAAATTCTCATTGTTTTGTGTGGCGCATATATATTTGGTGCCCCCCTTGTACCAATATTTATGTGTCCGAATAAAATAAATAAAATGTTACAGGACGATTTTGACCCCTTCTTATACATTGGGACAATAAGCGATTGAAACCAGTCAGATGGGATAACTAGTAAACAACCGTATTACTGTATTTATATATTCTCCTTATTGTAAGCTCTCAGTGGAATTATTAACTATCTTTATACTATTTGATGTTCTTTAATAATTGCTAATTAATTATGTACTGTTTGCTCTGCTCCCCTGCGTCTATGGCATGATTGTATGTAAAATATGATTTCATATTTGGGATGCGTTGCAGTTTGATAATTTATATAAATTAACGAGTATTTAGGGTAGATATAATGGACGGTTGAAATATAGAACAGAAGTTTGACTCCTGTGTTCTGTTTTTGGAACGAAGACTAAGAATAAACGAACCAACAAAAGTATGCACTGTCACACAAACTCAGGGTTATTCTTACCAGTACAGGAGTACAATTTGCTGAAACCTAGGACGCTAGCGACAGCCGAAATGGTATACAAAAGGGTAGAGATATTCCAATCAGAATCCTAGTCTGAGAATCGAACAAGTGATATCGACTAACGTCTCAGACATGACAAGCAGACCAAACAAAACCATATTTTGGGATATAAATTTTTATCGGTTACCCAGAAATATCAATCACTAGGAAGGGTAACGAAAGGTTAGATCATAAGTTATTAGGACAAGCATACCAATTATGCTTAGAACTAATCAGTTAAACGGATACTAAGTTCCATCGCTTCGTGAATAATATTAGTGTATTTTGACTCAAATGTAAAGAAAGTTTCATGGGGTTTAGCTTAGTTATACAATGATTGTTGCTAAAAACAGTAGACTAATTAAATTTGAGCAAAATGAATATTCAAATAACTGACCCATATCTTTTTCACAAATCATAAATCATTATTAGATTACTGAAGTAAGCCAGTTAACATGGTCACAACAAAAAAACCAACCTAACATATTACAAGAAAGGAATATAAGTGATTAATTGGTGAGTCAAAATCACACAGTCCTTGTATAACCAAGCAGAGTAAATATACGATTATAAAAATTCATAAACTTACTTGTATAATCTTAACGAATAGTTGACAAATCTCATCGCAGAAACGAGGGTCATCAACTCGTCTACATAATCGCCCAAGTACGAATATTAAGTTTCCTATTTGAATATCACACCCTGTATTTACAGCAGAACCCAACAGTTTCTGATGTTCATCGACCACTTTTGATATAAAGTTGATGGATAGAGATAAAACGTTCTTATCTAAAAATGGGATTGTGGTTATTCCCTTTGCCAGTGGATCCAAGAGACGATTGAGAGCCCGTAAAGCGGACTGGCGAAGAGCACTATCCTCAATGTTTAGTGAATGAATAGAACTTTCAAAGATCTGAACACTAGTTTCATCCCCCTGTATCTAGGTTATTCATCATATATAATTAATAACTGTGCAAACCTTGCTAATTTCACGTTCTTTAGGTAGGATTATTCTCTTCTTCTGTAAATTGATTACTGTCTCGTTTCGGCATTTTAATTTCCTTCCAACTTTAACTCGAACCTTTTGAAAGTCTTTTTTACTTTTCACCATAACTTCAAGCAAAAGAATAGTTGAAGATAATGATAGACACTTCAAGATATAAGTTGAAACGATGGTTTTGAATTGGCTTTCAATTATTGCGTCGCTAGTCTGAGCAACTAGCTAATGCCATTGGCTTTTAAAAAAATGGTAAATAACAGCTATGTATGCAAGAATGTGATTGCTCAGTCTTAACGACCCACAAATTACTCAAAGAAATGAAATAAAATGGACGTATGATAAAGAAAGTACTCAGAGGACTTTTAAATAAATCTATTCAACATAACTTTGACCAAGACTTAGTACTTGCCATTTACATGTCCATTGTTTAGTTCTAATCTTGAGGGAAAACAAACATTTACTTTATAGATGCAACTATTTTGAGAAAAACCATGACAGTCAGACAAAGGAGAAAGGTATTCGGTTTTGACAGCTAGAGTTCACATTCAATAATAATAATAATAGTAATAATAATAATAATAATAATAAAGACTAGGAAATACTGGTCTAAATTAGGGACTGATATGTAAATCAAAATGTTTTCACATCGATGTCTATCGCTTATTTACCTCAGAAGTTAGAATTCTTTTTTAGTGAGTACAAAAAAACCAGCTAAACTAGCGTATTTCACATTCCATATAATAGTGGGAACTGCCAAACAATTTGCCGGATACCTTTTTTCTGCTTGAACCTCTAACAGGAGTAATCCTGCCAATCGAAGAGTTTGATAAGGCTTACGACAGAACGAACAACTTGAGCAGGTTTTTCGGTGGCTGATATGCCATAAACAAGTTACTCCAGGGTTACTTTTAAAGAAATCCACCTCAAAGACAATCTAATGCATAACCTATCGTTGTTAGCACGTGTAAGCTAGTGACCGAGGATATGGTGGTATGGATGTAGAGTTGTTTTAATTTTTTAACTAATGCACTTAGTGTTGTTATCTTGAGTAAATCTAGCTGGATACTTAAAAAAGGTTGCTGGTTTACAACAATAACTGCTGACCGTACTTCGAACCTACTAAGTGATTGAGATTTTCAAAAATCACTTTGAAAATTTCCTGAGACCGTTCACTAAATTTTGTCCCACTGACACAGGCCTTTCACTAAGAACCGACACCAAATATAGTGCAAGGAACTTAGAATACATACACCAGTTCTAAGCCCATTTATAGTATGCCAACCATTTATCATTACTGTCTGATGATCTCAACGTACCTTATCACCAAACTTTCAGCTCAAATATAATCTATTTTATCTATCATTTCCGAAAACCTGTATGTACGTACTTTACCGAACCATAATTTACCCTTGACTTCAACAGTGACAATTTTTCAAACTTTACTATACTCATTTTGCAATCAACTATATGTAAATTCCCTAAACCAAATAACACCAATATTACCTGCCAAACACCACAGGGCAACGCTTCAGGGGTATCGTCCACTGAAGTAGGTCGCGAGCACTTGAAGGTCAAACTATCGCAAGGTGATTGGTGCGTCACATCGACAATTCGCAAAGTTTTTCAGAAGCGGTCAAATCAAGACATTTTTATATTTGAATTGAGTTCAGCCACACCACAATACCGATGTCTATTGAACATTTGCTCTTGTTCTGCCAATATTCAATAACACTTACGAACATTGACCCAAAGATAGGCAGTAAAATTAAAGTTTGTGACCTTTTCTGGTATAATTAAGTGCTCGGAATTTTTTGGAATAAGCTAAATAGAGACATACACGCTACATTTTCAGCAGTAATTAGAATAGTTTTCTTCCTGCAAATCACAGGAATAAACTTTGTCCACAACTTCAGAACTATTGTTCTGTCATGTGAGTTATGATTGGTATTATTAGCAACCCTAATGACTGTTGTTCGTATAGGGGGAGATAGCAATTTCACTGACACCGAGATTGTGGCGAATTCACCAGTATGACGGGTTTTTTATGACATGTCGTGATGTAACACGTCACATTTCTTGCATTCGTTCTGCCCATTTTATCAATTCGCTATGCCTTACAGTTTAAGCCAACATCATAAAACAGGGATGGAACTAACACATCATGTTCCTAGCGATGAAACGTTGTTAAAAGAGAAACAAGAAAAGTAAAACAGATGATCAAGAATT